TCTTTTATTATTATTTATATTATTATTTATTATTATTTATAATTATCATTAATTATTGGATTATGATTAGTTATCCTCTGGAGACGTAAATTAAGTTAATTAATTTTGTTTAACTCATATATATTTTATTTATAGATTATTATTAATTTATTCACATTTTATATTCATTTCTTTTATTATAAATAAGATCTCTCTGTTCTGTAATTTTCTCTCAAATCTGAATACTTTTAAATAATAAAAATAATTATAAGTTATAAAATTAAAACTATTCATATCACATTTTATCTTGTTTACAATCATTAATAAAATAATCTTATACTAAATCACTTTTTTCATAATTACTTGTATATTATTAATTAACTGATATAGATTTTATGTTGTTATAATAGTTAATATCTTTTTTTTTATTTTTATTTATATTTTATTTATATTTTGTAAATCTACTTTTTTTATATCAAAAATTATTATTTTTCATTATTTTGAAATCTATTATATTGTAAGAAGAATATAAGAAACCTATTATATTATTTTATTACTTTGTTAAATTATTTGAGTAGTTATAGAATATTCGTATTTTCAACGTAATCACATGACTTTGAGGCTTGTGACTGATTCGTGTGGCTGATAATTTTGTAATTTCAGCTAAAATTATAACGTATAATTTTTAAGCCGCTTTAAAATTTCCATTAATCTACATTCGTCGATCTATAATTTGATTGGTCGATTATTTCACGTGACATGTGATCTCATGTAACGTTTGATGATGTCACCGCGATCGCTTTTGTTTTGTCTAATAACTCTTCTTTCCAAAATTTTGTTAAATTTTTGTGCCCCTTGAAAAGGTTATTTCATGGTAGGTTAATAACTTTATATATACTATTTGGCCAGGATAAGATATAATAAAGATGTTATTAATTATGAGTGGAAGAGACAAATATAATCAAAGATATAATGTAATAGGACTGAGCAGGAATCCCACCTTAATCGTACACGAGAGGAAATAGAACGAAACGTAAGAACACTACGATCGAAACTTGGATCACCGAGGACGGATGCCGATATATCCCTCTTAAACAAATCTAAGAAACATTGATCCTTCTGAACTTACATGGCGCGATCCAGAAGCAAATATGATTATTTCTGATGATTCAACGTTAGTTAAAATTTAGGGACTAGGCAGAAACAACTTTTTCTAGAACCTTGTGAAAATATGAAATGTGCTCTTTCCAGTTCGATTATTTCAAGATGCGATGAATTTATAAATAATTTTAATAATATTGATGTTCCAGATGTGCTAAGGAATATTGTACATAATAAGGAATGGAAAGAGGAGAAGATCAAACTGATGGAATGAACAAACCAAAGGTGATTTTATTATTATTGTATTCGATTTTAAGATAGGTTTAACCATTTTTAATGTAGTGAAATGGTATGGAAGAATCCAGCATTTGCAACTAGCGAAATGCGTAGTTCTCAAAGCGATGGAACTTATCACAAATATCATTGTAACTTTGCTTCGGGTCAGTTTGGAGGATCTTTCAAATGGTAGTGTTTGTCTAAGTACGGCAGAACGACAGAGTATAGCAAGCAAGGTCCGAAAAAAAACACGGGATAAGTGAAGAAAATAGTTCACAAACCTCCAAAGCCCCAATAGGAAAAAAACCCGATATTATGGTGATGGAAAATGTGGAGGTAAGATTTTTGAACTTGCTTACGTTGAATCTTCACGGGTGATTTGCACTAATTCAAAAAAAGAGGATGATTCGGTAAAATTGTGGAGAGAAACCCTGGATGGGATAAGTTTTGTTGGTACAGCATGTCGACCGACAAGTAATCAATTCGGTATTGCTGGAGTTCAGGTGGCTGGCGAAGATTTATATCTAAACGTTCTAGTGAAAGATGCAAATGGGATACCAAGATATTTCCATCTTAATCAAGCTCAAATACCTTTCACAAAAAATACTTCATGGCGCGTAAAACCCCTTATTCATTTATTATTAACTTTGAGAAATATTATAATCATAAACAAAAGTATACTAATGCAGGCCTTAGATCAGGCAAACACACGTCCACCCCGAAATGTCAATCCGAGCCCCACCATTACACGATTAAACTTTGTAATATTTCAAATATTTTTCATATCTATTCTATATTTTTTATTTTATCTATATCAATAAAGTAGCTCAGTTTCACATATATACATTTATAATCGTGTTTACTTTTGCATGTGTATTTTTGGAAATTTTTAAAAATTTTTCTTGGCGTTTTACACTTCCTGAACTAAGTTCAGTGACTTTTATCACGTGATTTATATCTCTACGATATGATGCAGAGTATCGAACGTCTGATTCTTCTGATATATGCCAAGTAAAGGATAACCGACCCTCTGTATCTCCTGAAACAAATCATGATCGTGAACAGATAAACTTACAATGTGAAGACACTCCCGCATCCGATATAACTGATGATACTTCAAATTCCGACGTATGTCAGGAGACAAAGACTCAGGTTCACATCAATGTTCCACATCACCAATTTGTATAGAAACAAATCTTCAGAAGATAAAGTGATCGATGAATTTCTAGACCGAAAAGAAAAGGAAAGGGTTAGTAATATAATAAGAGAGAAAAATAGAGAAAAGAAGCTTGGATCTCAAGATTCTTTATCATATGATAAGGATAATTCACAATCTAATAAAACAAAGTACAGAAATTCATGGCAGAAGTTTCTAAAAACTCTAGCTCGTCTATTAGTAATAGTAATGCAGACAGTGATGTGATACCTACAACCCTGAATGAAACAGAATCTCAACCCAGCAATACTAGCTTCACATTTTTATACGAAAAACTTTGTAATGCTATAATTCTCGCTGACCGTAAAACCCAAGAAGCAATCTTCTGTTATTGTAATTTTGGTAAATATCGATTTTTACTTAGAACGGGATATAACTATAATGGTGGTGCTCTCATTCATATTTTATGGGCAATCAAAATAACAAAAAGTATTAGCGAACAAATTTTGAAGGAGGTACCACCATATAATGAACTTTTTAGCCAAGTTTTATTTAAAAATAGATTTAGAGACATCCCATTTTGCACCGATATTAACAGTTGAAAATGGACACATCCAATACTTTGATATGAATGATTGATGCAATGGTATCAATTCTGGACATTCGAGAAGATTATAAGCATACATGATTATTTTATATGTCTACGAAGTAGGATGCTATGCATCTAGGCACAGAGTTCTCTGCTTTGCAGTATCTTTAGCCGAAAAAAGTCTGCAAAGCAGGACAAGGTCTGACAATAAATATTTATCTGCCCATTTGTTCTGAAATAGATGATTAGCGTTGTAATACCTTTGATTTTAGCCATCGAAAAAATATGGCAGATGGGTAGGTCGATTTGCTTTTCCTACATTAGGTAAATAAAATTCGCTTAACAAAAAAATAGATGCAAAAGCATCCTCATTTCATGAAACTAATGTTTGGATAATTAATTTTAGGTACATACTGTATAGCATTCATTTCTCTGCTATTCTCAAACTTGTTCAGCTTCTCTATCAGATCATCTAATGACAGGTCTATTCCGCATCTTATGGCTGCCATCTGATTATCGCGTAACAATCAACGGAGGAAGTATTCTTTGAGAAATATTTTGTCATCATTCACCCCAATGTTGTTATGTAACATTTCACCATCTCTTAATATTTTTTTACTGGTAGTGATACTTGCCTCGGCGGTGGGGGGGGGGCCTTGTGCAATATCTAATAATACATCGGTTCTATCGAGCAATGTGAGAATATGATTGGGAAAATCTATTTTCGACGTATTTCCCTGAATCCATGGTGAACCTAATAACAGTACATATGCAAATTCAGGTTTATTAGAAACAAAAATATCATTAACATCTACCTGTTTCCATATATTGTCTTTAGAACAGAAAGAAGGATTTATTTTACGGACTGTTCCCAATATTGGTATACAATCTTCTATAGTTAAATTATTTGGTGATTTTTCAGATGAATGAGTGATTGATAGTTTTGCTTCTCCTATATGGGAAGTATCAATCTCTAACACATCTACTAAACCTTTGCCTATAAAATTGCAATTAGTGATGGCATCTAATATAGTTTTGACTGGTACTTTGTTAATTTCGCAAGATAAGATTCTTATCGTGACGCTTTATTATGATAATATATATATAATTATATTGTATTTTTATGGCGTATTAATAAAAATTAATTTTAATCCAATGATCGAAAATAGCTGTGAAACACTTGCCCCCGGCAATAATATCCCGGAATCAATAGAAGAACTTGTAAACAATGCTCAATCGACGGTAAAAATATAGATTCCCATATTAATGATACCGATAAAATAGTATTAAAAATCGTTAAACAAATATCACGTAGAGCAATTTCGATTTTTCTTCGCCAATTAACGAAAATAGTGAAACCTGAGTTTCAGCAGGAGATTGTGAACTCGATAGCAAATCCTGATATTAATAATCATCTTGTAGACCGGATGACTGTCTTCGTCGAAAAACGTAGGGGCAAAGCCTTATTGCTATGTAATAGGAAAAAGACGATTTTATTTGAGTCTTCATCCTCATCTTCTTCATCTAGCACTGAGTCTGGATCTGAATTCGAATCTGATGATGAGATTGGTGAATGCATAGTCGAAGTTAAAGAAGTGTAATTAATCTGTATCATAGATTCGAAATGGTCTCGCTTGGTCGACACTAACTTCATGGGCCTGTAATTCACCACAACATAATTTTGTGCTGGGTCAATTGAATCTGAATCCGATATAATTACTGAATGCGGAATTAAATCTGTTTTCACTTGATAGGTTGGTCTTCTGGATTCTGCTCATTATCGTCATTTGGGTCAGAATCAAAAGTATCGAATAATTCAGAAACAGACCATTAGCTGAATAATCAGAATATTAAATTTCGATTTTCGGGTTGAGTTTTTTCGTTACTTCTTTGCTAATCCCTTCACATCCTCCCAATTCAAGATATTTCAAATTAGTTCAGTTGCGGGCTATTTCCTTGACAGCTTCATTACCAATCGAACATAAACCAAGTTCAAGATTTTTAAGTTTTGGGCACGAGTGCACAAGGTCTCGAATCCCCAAATCAGTAACATTTCCACAATCATATATATTAAGACATTCTAGTTAGTGACATGAGTTCGCTAATTCTTTTATGGTATAATCATTAACTTTACGACAACCAAGTAGTCCTAAATGTTTAAGATTTTTACACGAACGTGCAATACTACGTATTATAGATTCTTTAATAGAATGGAATAAGGAAAGGTCAAGGCATTGTAAATTATGACATGATAATTAAACAAAATTACTTCTCGTTAACTATAATCTAGATTTTGATAAAAACTTTTATATAATATTATAATTTGTAATAGCAAAAAAATATATAAATATAATATAAATATATAATATAAATAAATATAATATTTTTTAAGTGAAATATTATTTTTTAACAAATGATATAAATTTGTTATAATATATCTTTTAGCTATGATTGATATTAAAAAATATAATGAATTTATACTTTTTTAATACTATTGATTAAATATTAAAAAATATAATGAATTTATACTTTTTTAATACTATTGATTAATTATTATATATTTTTTAATATTAATTAATATTAAAAAATATATATTATAATAATGCAAAGGCAACCCCATTATAACGAACCCCGTTTAACCGAAGCACTAATTACAACCAAAGATGGCTCCAGGATCAGTTATAGTAAATCTATCCCATTAAACTGAATTTACTAATGAAATCTTGGATAAACCGAATTTTTAAAATTTTTTACTAATAGTACCAACCACTTCAGTATAATGGGATTGTCTTTGTATATATCATTTTTAATATTATCTATTAATAAAGAATTTATTATTTAATATACTTTAATATTGAATAATATTATATATTATTTAATATTATTATATATTTAGTAATTTTAAATAAATAATAATCTTAAACTTTAATAAATTATTCAAATTGCATAGTTTAAATTAGTAATTTAAGTGAATTTCTTATTTTTATCAAAATTATTATATTTTTTATTATAAATAATTTATTTTTAAATTTAATTTTGATTAAAAAATAAGTATATTAATTTTTAATAATTTTAATTTAGAAAAATAATAATATTCTTATAAATAATAATTTTTATATAAATTATACAAAAAGATTTATATATTAAATAAATATTAATTAATAATTTATTTGAATAAAATTTTAATTCTGTCTTATTTAATTAAGTTGTTAAATATTAGAATTTATCTAAATATATAATCAGATCTCTCTATAGTTATCATACTTGAAAAAGCAAAATTAAATAACTAAAGAGAGATATGTCTATAAAAATTTTTTTTAATTATAATTAATTAGTAACTAAAAAACTTAAAAAAGATGATTATAAAAAAATATAATTATAAAGAAATATAATTATATATATTTTAATAATATATCTTTATAAAAATTTTTTTTAATATTATTATTAGTTTATTTTTTACTCTTAATCTCATAATTTTACTTTATTTTTTCTTTTCAATTTCTTGATGATCTCTTATTTTTTTATATTATTCTATATTATTTTATTATATTATTCTTTTAATTATTAATTAATTATAAATTATATATAAAAATAATAGTATAAGCTCTATTTAAAATAAGAATAATATCTTTAGCTATTTTTCTTCTTTCAAAAATATCTAATTAAGTATTAATATTTAATATTACTAAATTATAATATATAATTTATTTATATTAATAATAGTAAAAAATTATTATATTATATTTTTATTTTATTGATTTATTTTATTGATTTATTTTTAATTTATATATTATTTAATTAAACTTATTCTTTATTATAATATTAATTATCTTTATTTTTTATTAGTTTTTTATTTAAATATAATCAAATCTATTTATAATTATTATACTTAAAAGAATAAAATTAAATATTAAAGAGAGATATAATTATAGAGATTTTTTAATTATAATTAATTAATAATTAGAAAACTTAAAAAAAATTATAAAAAAGATAATTATAAAGAGATATAATTATAAAAAGATTTGATTATATATATAAAAATAATTATATATCAGATTATTTTATATATATATAATTTAATATAGAATAATTTATATTTTTATATAATTATTAAAATTTTTATAATATTAAATTTATATATAATATATTAAATAATTTTATTTTTATATGAGTTAAAATCTGTAAATAAATATATTTATTTCTTAAATTTTATTAAAGTTTTAATAAATAGTTTTTATATAAAATAAAATTATATACTACTAACTAATAATAAAAAATAAATAGTAATAAATACTTATTGATACTTAAAGTTATTTTCTTTAATAAGTAAAATTAATATATATTATTATATAAATAAATTATCTAAGTTTTAAATATTATTAAGAATATAATTAAAATAGTATTATTTAACTAAAACTAATATAATAATAATACTTTTTTACTTTATTAAAATCTTAAATTATTTAAATTATAATTAAATAAAAATATTATATTACTTTTTATATATATATATTATTAATAATAATAAAGTTAAATATTAAATTTTCATATTTTTTTATAAGTTATTAAATAATATTATTTTATAATTTTAATTAGAAAATATTTATATATTATAATATAAAAAGATAAATTATTATAATTTTTTTCTTGAATCTTAATTAATAAAAGTTATAATTTAAGTAATTATTTTTAATAACTTATAATTTTATATAAATAAAATATCATTACTTCTTTTTTCTTATTTTTATTATAATATTATTAAGTTTTAAATTTATAATTCTTCTAAATTTTATATAAATTTAAATTTTTTACAAATATAAATATTATATTAACTTATTAAAATTATTATTTATAGTAATTTTAACTTATTAATAATATTAATTAATATAATTATTTTTATTTTTATCTATTTTTAATTTTTATCTATCTAATATTAATTACTTATTTATTATTTATATTATATTTTTAATTGTTTTTAATATATATTATACTTAAATTTTTCATAATATTCTAAATTATATATTAAAATACTTAATATTTTATTAATTAAAATATATAATTAATTATAAATTAAATAATATTTTATATAAATATAATTAATATAACTTAAATTATTATAAAAGAAATTTTTGTAATTAATAAATCAAGATAAACTTATAGATAATTAAAAAATAAAATTAATAAAGTTTAAGAAATTAACTAATATTTTTAATATATTTTTACTTTTCTTATTATTACTTTTAATATATTTTATATTTAATTATAACTTATTTAACTAGTAAAAGTTATCTTTTATATTTTTATTATTTATATTTTATAATTATAATTACTTATTTAACTAATAAAAATATTATAATTTTATTTATTATAAACTTACTATATATTTTATTAATTTTGATTAAAAATAATAAAAAATTATATTATTATAATTTTTTAATAAATTTATAAATATTATTATCATTCTTCTTTTATTTATTTTCTAAAAAGTATTTTTATTTATATATATTATTTAATTTAATTCTCTTAATTAAATATAATTATTAATATTATTCTTATATTATTCTTAATTAATTAAATATTATATTTTGATTTATTAATTTACTTATCTAATTAAAAATAATAATAATATATAAAATTTGATAAAATTAATATAAAATATAATTATATTTTTTCTAAGTATATTTTTCTTGAAACTATAATAAAAAAATAAAAAATATATATTTAAAAAAAATATATATTTATAGAAATCAAAATATATATTTATAAAGATAAAAATATATAAAGCTTTTATAAGCTAAATCAGAATATATTATATATTTAAAAAGAAATTATATAATATATATACTTAGAAGGAATATATTTAGAAAAATATGATTATATATAATAAATAATTTAATTATTAATTTTTAAGACAGAATTTTAAATCTATTTTATCAAATATAAGATAATCTGCTTGTATAATTTGAAGTTTTAATATTATAAATTGATAGTAATAATACTTAATTTTTTTAAAAATTTTATTTTATTTTTTTAAAAAAGTATTACTTGATTTATTATTAAATTAAAGTGTAATATAATAATTATTATAAATATTCAGAATTTTAAATGTAATATATAGAATAATGAAAAATTATCAAAATTATCTGATAATTTAGATACATCTTCTTTATAATTGGTAAAACAAGTTTAATTAAAATAGCTTACAGAATTATTATTAATTATTATTATATTTTTCTCTTTATAAAAAAATAAGTCAAATCCAATAAAGATAGAGCTTATGTTATTAAAAAGAATATTATTATTTTATTATAAATGAAATGATTCATTATATTATAAAGAATATATTTATAAATTTTAATATAATTTTGATATTTTTTCATTAAATAATTAATAAAAATATAAAGTTAGCTATATTTATGATTATTTTTAGTTTTTTATAATTTTTAATAAGATATTATACCAATATGTCTTAAGTAACTTTGTTCTTCATATCAAAGAATATATATTTGAAAATTTCACAAAATTTTATTCATTCTTTATCATATGATTAATATGCAAATTAAAAATTTTGAATCTTTATGATAACTATAGAATAATGAAAATAATATATAAAGTTAATCTAGATTATTTTTTATTTATTATAAAAAAATTATAAAAATTTATTAAAATTTGAATGAGTTTTATTAGAAATAAATATTAATTTTTCTTTTGGTATACAAATCTTTTGCATTGATCCATATTGAATATAGTAGATTCATCAATATATAATAATTATTCATCCAAATATATCTATTTCTTGTTTTGACAAAAATAAATTATCAGTTATTATTTTAATAAAGAATCCTTGAACAGGTAATGTTTGAATAGCTTGAATCTAGCAACTTCTAATTTATACAGGTTAATAAACATTTCACAGATAACATCCAAAACATGGAAGGTAGCTTATTTTCGGACTTTTACGATAGTTAATTTTGTGTTATGTTTAATGTTAAGAAGAGATATTTTTATTTAGACATGTAATTAAATCGATTACTGTCTATCGATTGTTTGTTTTAGTGTTTGAATCTTAATACATGTATAACAAAGGTCCGGGTCGATTAGTAAAAATTATTATATTGAAAATTTATTAACAATTCACTATATTGAGAGAACTCGTTAGAGAATGTTTTGAATTAGTTAAATCGAAGATTAACTATAAATTTCAGAAGTCTGTTTACATGAACATTTTCTCTAACCACCACAAACCTGCAGTTTTCCCATTTTAGCACCGCTGAGCCAGTAAGTCCAAAAAGGCAATTTGAATAATAATGATAATACAATAACGATAATACTATGTTTGCATGGTGAAAGTCTCGGTGTACAAGTTCTCTGCATGAATTTTTTTTCAGATGATCAATTAACTATCTTAATTTTTCAAACCCAAATTTTCGTAGTTGGCATTAATATATTTTCAAAGAGTATCATAAGTCATTACTGCTGAGTATTCATTAGTAGCTATCTTAAAATATTGTAATGATAGTCAAACACTTTGAAGCTATTTTGAAAACTTGATTGTATTAATAAACGAAAAGGCAACTATAGAAAATGTTCATTTTACCTCGTTTATAAGCTTCGTAATAATTTGTTTTGAATTATTAAAAAAACAACTTTTTTTCTCCAATTCATTTAGGTTTATTTTCTTTATGATCCATTTTTCAATTTCTCAATATTCCAAAGCCTCCTTTTACAGGATGCTCAACAATGGTTATTTTTTCAAAGGGATCCTTTCATAAATAGATATTTTTTCAAATTCGCTATATTCTTTTATTAGATTGTCGGTATCTTTAGACCATTCAAATTTATTGTTATAAACACGGCAAGCAGTTCCAATTTGTTTGACAATTGGACATTTACTATAATCATAGGTATAGTATTGTGATCTAAACACCCACTTGCTTGACATTCTCGCATTCACTTACAAGTCTCCAACTCCATCTTTGAGTTTTAAGTAAATGCCGTTTTCTATATCGATATTGATAATGCGTAATATCGATATTTCAATCAAATCCTGTGTGACGTGACAAAAAATTTTTTTTATAATTGTGTTAAATCGACGACGATCTTAAATTTTTTTTCATGGTCTAATTCAACACAATGTCTTCTCAATTCAAAATGGCGATTATACAAAATGGATTGCGTGGCACATTATGTTTCTTGAAGCCATTGAGATTTCGCCAAGTTCAATCATCTCTCAAAAGTCATCAGTATTCGACTATGCCTGTTCCAAAAACTCATTACGAAATCGAACGAAAATTTACCTTTTCCCAGTCTAACGTTTCTATCCTTGAAACCAACACTGGTCCTACAAAATTCATGTCAATGAAACACCTTCTTGATCAAAAATTTACAGACGTATACTATGATGACAAGGAACGCAACTACCCATTAACAACCAATGACATTTGGCTTCGTCAGCGTGACGAGATATGGGAATGCAAATGTCCCATGAACCCGGCCGCGTCAATGGATATATATCTTGAACTTGTAAAGTTGCCAGATATTGCTGAATTTATTCGACAAAAATTAGGAAGGGGTGAGTCAATTCCGGTGTTACCAGATGAAGCAATACAGTTCAAAAACCATTTACTTCAACAACATAATTTATCCGCGTTTTGTACTATAACCACGACAAGGAGAAAGTACCTAGTAGACGACCAATTTACTTTAGTGTTGGATCATGCGGACTTTGGACATTCTGTGGGTGAGTTGGAGATTACGGTTAGCAAAGAAAGTGAAATTCCGCAAGCTGAATTGAAGGTCGCGCAGTTTATGAATAAGCATAAGTGGTTTTTTGAGACTAAGGGGGTTGTATTTGGAAAATTATCGGCGTATATCTCGAAGTTTAATCGACACCAATGGGAATGCATGGAGCGATCCGGGATTTTAAAACAAAAATTGTTTCCTGAAAGTCTGGAAGATGTCGTACGGAGAAATGAAATGGGGAAGGCCAAAACTTTGTAAATTACGCGAGTTCATACTCGGTGCAGGGTTGATGATATTCTACGCTTCACCTATTCTTAACCACAAAATCGACCATAAATAAAAATGAATCAATGATTTTTTTATTGTTATCAGAAAATGTTATAGAAATTCGTAACCTAAAATACACGCACATAAATAAATATATATACATATATACATATATACACATATATACATATACATATAGATACGAAGAAATGCCACCGGGTAACTTTACCAACTTCAAGAATTCAACAATGTAGAATTCAATATTTACTACCAATCCAATTTTGAAGTTCCGCCGCAACCTTGAACGGGCGATTTTGACCACTCATACACACCTGACCTCCCATGGAACGCAGTTTGATCCCAACCAGCTTGATCAAGCGCAACTTGAACATCGACCTCTAGCAGTGACTGACTGGGTGTTTTTTTATTTGTGGTGCAGTTGAGGAAACAGAGATGTTCATCAAGGATCAAATAAGAATCTTTCATCAGTTTGTTGGACTCTGGAACGATACATTTCTGGCTTCGATGACGATCTATAAATGACTCGAATTCTTTATCGGAAATTACGAATTCTTGCGCATCACGTAACGTATTTTCCCCACTGTTCTCATTCTCCAAAATTAAAACCTGGAAACATTTCCACCTAAACGGCCGTAACAACGAAATCTCGGAATTCATATCTTCTTGCCAGTTGTAACGGTTGACGACCGTATTCAATTTAAACTTGATATTGAACTCACAACACCATCCGGCCACCTGCCGCAATTGTTCAACATGTCGTCCTTTCCCACGGCCAATTTTGATATTGGTCTCTTCATTGAACGAGTCGCAAGATATCGCGAGAATATCCAAATTATCCTTATGACGTTCAAGGAATCGCTTTTTGATGGCGCTCCCGTTACTCACGATAGACACTGATTCGAGGCACAAATCTTGCTTGGCAAACTCTAAGAGTTTCCCTAGTTGCTCGGGATACAAGAATGGTTCACCACCTGCGAAGTTTAATTTTCGCATTCCAGCTTCTTTAAGTTTTCGGAGCGCTCGTTTCGAGTCCTCGAGAGTAGGCATATCGGAAGTCTTTGCTGTGTGGAAACAAAACTTGCATTCATAGTTGCAGATGCGTGTAAAGTGGAAGTTGACGGAAATGGGCACTTTTTTGGTTTTTCTCGACCAGGAGTTTCGAGGGAAAAACTTGTAAAATTTATAGATGAGGTATACAAGAACAAGTGATAAGCAGTGTCCGAGAAACATTGCGGGTCTTAGAAGAGGTGATTACTGGGCGTTCAGTGCCCTTTAAATGGCTTCATTTTTAGTCATTAACCGCAGAGGTAACAGCGAAAAATCAAATATTGTGAAAAACACATTGTACACAAATTGGTTTTCTATGGGTAACGGCATCTTTTGGATTTCGATTCCGTACTTGTAATACAGGCACAAAAATAACAGATTAGGTAGGTAGCGCAAACGTTAGTGATACATGTTCAAAGGAATTCTATGCATCAACTGTGAAAAACCCATTTTTTTACTAATTATGGCATAATATAATAAATTTACGAATACTCCATTGAGTTAGTTTATTCTCAGAAAGGTTTGGATCATGCAATTATTAATGTAATTAAATTTCAACTTCCAAAGTATTGAATTTTTTATTCCTCGATAAATATACATGATACAAGTTAATTCAGCGTTAGAAACTCCAATTTTTCATCGATTTGTGTTGGTTGAACAGAATCTGTCATTGCTTCGGATGATGTTTCTTCAACAGATTCAACAATAGAAGGTAACTTGCTAGCAGTTTCTTCCCAAAATTTTTTTAATTCTTCTTCATCCTCACAAAATTTTTGAAATTCGCGCATCAATGCATCCGGGTCACTAGAAGGTTTCGCTTGTGTTGTGCGCTCATTCAATCTATCACTAGATTGAGTGATCGCTAATCGGTTATTGACCCACAAATATCCTTCACCTGGTTCGCGGATTTGTATAAATGCCACACCAGATCGATGAATATATTGAGAATATTTGTATGGTGTCTTGTGATAAGAATAAATGGGCTTCACATCTTTTGGAAACAGATCATCTGCCTCCACATCAAGTATGAACTTGAAGAATTTGACTAGTTGTATTTCAAAATATAAGTAAGGGTTAATAGCAGGATGAAGCTTCTTCCCAATTGCGTCCAAAGATGGTGGCTGAAGAGCGAGTTTAATAATAGTTGGTGATTGAAATGAATTATTATCGGTTAAACTCATCGCTTGTTCCACGGGAGCTTCAACCAATTTTAAGCCAGATTTGGCAGCAGACCGACCCCAACTTTGCAGCATATCATCTAAAAGTCGTGCAGTACAACCAAGCCAGTTCAACTGAAAATGGTAACAATTGTCCGGGTTATACAACACGTCATAATGTAGGGTCGCGGTTTCATTTCGCTCACTTTTCTTCTTAGAATCAACATCAATCGTTATTGTTTTACTTAATTCGAATAAAGTTTTTTTAGGCGGTGATGGTTGTATATTCTCTTCAGTTGAAGGTTTTATTGAAGACGATTCATTTTTTTCGGGGTCTTTATTATTGTTTTTTTGATTTCCAAACCAACTTCTTGAATTTCTTTGCGGCGCATACTCTTTCTTAAGTTGATAATAATAGAAGCCGTCTAAAAATCGATGTCGTTTTGTGCAATGATCAAATAAACCTCTGTTCTGTAAATCATTTCCAAATTCTATTGCGGTCTCGCGCGTATCAATATCAGAAAAATTTTTGATTAACCAGTCAACAAATTCATTCCCTACAATAGCATTTTCATATAATCGTAAATGCCATCTACGTTCCCGTACCACACCTGTGGACGAGTGTAACATAGCTTGAGCTATTGTTGTCAATTTGGATTCCCTAGTGAGACGTTCATCACTAGGATGTGTCGACCAACGTCTTGGAGCAATATCATCAGACGCTCGAAGATAAACTGAAGGATCAAGTGTTGTCAGAATTAAATTTTGTTTGATATTCTTTTTCTTTTGCGCCGACTCCGGCAATTCATTAGGCGTGCTCCAAACAGCGTCTTGGAAAATCTCCATGAAGCTGTAGATTCCATTCACACGTATCTCCTCTTCATTAAGAGGTTCATTGAATGGTGTCATTGCATTGCTGGGTAAAATTTCCATTGGAATTAAAATGAATCTGGTTCTCCAAAATTTGAGTGCTTCTAAAAGAACATCTTGATATCCAGAGACTAGTTGATCCACGTAGTTCCAGTTATAATCTGAATTAGGGTACCTAAAAGTAACCGATCTTAATTCAAACTTTTCTTGAGCTTTTGGCCATATTACACACTGATAAGGAATCGGATCGGATGAATATTGCGTTTTTCTCAAGTATCGTTTCACTTCAACATTCTGACCAGAAGGATCATATGTTAGAATGTGTACTTGATAACCCATACTTAAATAACAAGGTATTGAGGCCGAGAATGAATTTGGCTTAGGTTGTTGTTCTTTCCAGACAAGTGATTTGGTCGTTTCGCTCATATATTTTGCTGTAACACCAAAATTACTCATATTAGCAGCATTATCATCTTCATCGTCATTTCCAGATGTGTTGGGAATAATTAATTGATATCCTTGAGACAATCTTTGTAATATCATTTCTTTCAATAAGATTTCTGTCTTGCGCTGTTCAGATATAGTATCGTCTTGTGCAATAGTTAATCCTTCAGGATCAACCGATATTGTGTATGTATATTCATTATAAGCACCCTGTTCGTTGATTGGCGGAAAAAAATCAGTAGTTAATGGAAGACAAGCTGGCGTGCACAGCGAATTCCACTTCATTATACTTCTAGCAATTTTTCTCGGAAACACATGTTCCCATCTGCGCATATGACTGGCTAATCCCGGTCTACTGAGTGAAGTTTTTCCCGGGTTACAAGGATTTACGAGTGTTGCCTTATAATGTTGTTTGGAAGCAGGTCTCACAAAATAACGTCCAATTTCACTAGAGTACGAACTATTTTTTGGTGATGGTGATGAATCTCGATGTGCGTTGCGTACAGGATGACATGTCGATGACTTTATGGATATTGGTTTAGTCATTGAGGTCGATTCGGGAATATATTCATCCTCACCGTAAGTAACATTCCGATTTTTATGGCCCATACTCTCTTGATAAATAATATCTCGCGAAAGTTGCGTATCTGATTTTGAAATATTATCAATAATAACATTAGAGGATGCGACTATTTTTTGTTGCTCCTCTTCAAAAGAATTCGATCTGGTGTTTATAGCACTATTATGATTACTATGATTATGTTTTTGTATGCTGCGACCTGAGAAACCATCATCTGAAGTACTTCCAGAAACACGACGTGGTCTAGCAGTATAAAATGTTGATTTCATCGTCGGATCAGGATGAATAGGAGACATTATTAGTCCAGGTGTTATTATTTTAGGTAAACTTCTCGATAATTCAACATGTTTATTTGATGATACAGGTATTAAATCATCGTGGCTTCTTCGAGAATACGAATATTCAGAACTACGATCTGACTCGCCATTCATGAGTGCATTTTGGTCTTCACGTAATAAGTAATGACGTGTCTTAATTGTAGATTTCTGCGTTTCATTAGAAAAAATATTCTCATCATAACTTTCATAATCAATAATAGAATTCGAGTTTTCTTCCGACCTAGTTAAACTCGATTCAGAAGAATCAAATTCAGCTTGATTTTCATCAAGATACGGGATTAAGATGGAAGAAATCTCGTGTTCCATTATTCCCATCATTTGAATTTCGTACATCTTACAACGAGTTACGAATTTATCTGGTTTATATGGTTTGTCTTTGTGTCTTGTATAGAAACTACAATCTATCCAATCCGGAGTTTTATAAAAAGATGTCGTTGCATCTTTAATGTCTTCGTCATAATCTAAAGGATCTCGTAGTTCAGGCTTTAGATCTTTGATTTGCGACTTAGAACCGCCACCGCCGCTTCCTGCTGTTTTAGACATCCACCAGTCGGGTAATGGTGCTTTCGCTGGATCCAGCGAGTTAAATCGGAACAATGGTACAGTATGCAGAGGAATTCTTGATAAGCAAACAAGATCTAGCCCAATGCCATTGTCGATCATCCTCTCAGTTGTCATTCGTAAGAGTTTCTTGTTGACTTCAAATCGGCCACATCCTGGAGTCACCACGATTATTGCTAATCCGGTACGCAAAAGGTCTCTATCTACATAATGCTTATCAAATGGATTCAATGCCAGATTTATCGCTTCCAATATGTTGCCTTCGAAAGCAAAGGAATTCCGCCCGGAAAGAGATTCATAACCATTTTTTTTACGTAGCAGAATATCTTGAGGATACTTTAAAAATTCCTCTTTCAATGGGACAATTGTAGATGTCCAATCAGTGTGTGCTTCCCAATCAACAATAACTTTATAAAAATCTTTGTACCACCTGCCTTTTTCATCTTGCTTCACAGCGCTTTCGTTTACCAAGTCCTCATCGTAATCATAAAATATGCGTGAAAATAAAACTATCGATCCGATATGATTTGTACCTACTTCTTTCCACCGTTGAAAAAACTCCGGGAGAAAGCCATCAATAGCTTTTTCGAAAAAAAGTTCTCCATCCTCATCAAATTCCCACATTTCCCTACTCATCTGTATGAATATAAAATACTTTGCAGACTCGGACCTATAAATGGACTTTGTCTCATCTGTTATATAACCACCACAAACTAATTCACCTTTCACATAGATTCGTTTGACTTGTGCACGAATGCATGCAAATTCGATTTTTCTGCCAACGTAAACCCAGCTCCCGCACAGACTGGTGCTAAGACGCCACATATCACTCCTTCCAATATATTGATCTCGAAAAGTGAGTTCAATGAACTCGGCAGCAACAGAATTAACATCAACTGCGCGTGCTATTACTTCTTTACGCCCCATATAACCGGAGAAACCAAATAACGCAGCTATTTGCTTAGTCACCGCTACTTGTAAAGCAGGATTTTTATTGAGAAATGCGCTATCTAGTGTATCCGTTGATGCAACTTGCAAAATAAGATGCTTGGACTTATCTTCCGCGGAATTGGGATGAAACAGTGCAAGCAATTGACCAGGTTTTACACCTGGCACACAATCCGGATTCAAAATTACATCATGCTTCGCGAACTCATTATCATAAACCCATAAGTTAAGTACTTTGGTATATACTCCAGGTGCTGAAGAGTGAACGGAAGATTCCATGAGGTAAATTAAGCATAAAATTCTCTTTGAGCCAAAAAATACATAAAAACGATAATTTGATAAAAGCGTACATTATACAAAAGTTTCTCGAGTTGGTTGATTGATTATCTATTCTATTTATGTTGATATCTATATTTTGGTAAATTTGGTAAACGGTTCGCGTAACAACTTATTTTCTCCTTTGCCATACCATATACCATATCATCATTAATATATAACCTTTAAATTACCCCCACTCCCTTTTTCAAGATTCGCATATATACTCCTTTCCTTAGTGTTATTTCCCATTTGTAGGCATGCAAGAGGTTGAAGTGGCTCCACGAGATGTTTATATACATACTGTTAATGTACCTCAAGGCAATACGATCACTTGGCAGTTTTCTACCAAAAAGAAAAATATTTCGTTTGGCTTGTTTCAAAAAACTTCAACAACAAACAACATTTCCAATGCCTCATTAACAACAACCGGTGCCCCTTTAGAACCTTTATTATCTCCGGCTTCACCCTTTAGGCCCTCGACTCCCACCTCTCTTAAAGCCGGAAGAACAGTTAGCTATTATAGTCTCGCAAGCCCTGCGAGTAGAACTTCCTTTGAAACTATTGATACAGAAGAGGCTGAGGATGAGAGTGGAAGTACCTCATTTGGAGCTTCGTTCCCCGAGGCGAGCTCTACTTCATTTCATTCCCATCAAAGCAGTTCTGGAAAAAGTAGTCGCAAGAAATTAGCGCCCCTACAAATCTTAAAAGATCCTGATCTGAAAGAAATATTGCCGATCGCACATTATAACTCTGCTACCTCTACTATCAAAGGCAGTTTTCAAGTCGAAGAAGAGGGAACATATTGCTTATGTTTTGGTAAATAGTATGAAGATAATTTATCTTTTTCAAATCAATGTTGAATCATCACAAACATTTATCTTGATGTACGGATTATTTCTGCCAAGATTAGATAATTCATTTTCCCGCAATACGTCAAAAGTGGTGACCTTTTTCGTAGCATTAAAAGGTAGCAAGCATTGATTATTGATCTTGATAGTTAAGATTTTCAAGATGTTCGATCGTTAACTTTATTTTATAAAACAGGTTCCAACGATATTGAAGAAACCGAAAATAAACCGGAAATTTCTGGATGGCTGTTGAAAAAGAAACGTAAAAAAATGCAAGGTGTGGTAGGAATAAAAATGATGAGATTTTGTTAAATACATATACTCTATAACTTTATTATCATAATGTATAGGTTGGGCTAAACGTTGGTTTGAGGTACATGATGGTGTAATGTCTTACTATCAACACCCGCAAGCTCCCTGTAGAGGCACGATTCACATTGAACAATCTGCGGTATCGTCAAACCAGACATTTCGCTCGATAAATATGGACTCTGGAACGGCTACTTATCAATTGAAAGCCTTAACAGATGTAGACTTCGATAACTGGATGACAATCATCAGAAAATATGTTAAACAATCAAAAGAACGTCAATTAATTGACCCTGATTATCCAAAGACTTTGACATCTCCGCGCCAATCTGTGGAATTAACCAAACGTCAAAGTGTGTATAAACGACAAACCGCGTTTGAAAAACGGCAGAGTAATTACAGAGGGGATGCACAAAGCCTATTTAGAATAAGTCGAGCTGACAGCGACGATGTCACAAAAATCTATGAATCATTTAAAAGTATGGATCAAAGTTTTCGAAGCATAAAAGAGCTATTAGAAATTCTCAAGCATACTACTGAGCCACATCTCTCTCCTAATTCGCAAACACGTTCGCCGAATAATAATGATGGAAAATTTCGATTAAAAAAATTTCCCATCTCGCTGCAAAGAGGTTTGTAAACAAAATTTTTTTAAAAGTTTTATTGTAAAAAGTTCTTTAATAATTATTTCTGGTTCATACTAATTTCTAGCTACAACATTACCAGCTGAACTTAGCTCACAACAGCAATTAACACCAAATCCTTTTAATATGTCTATGGAACAATTATACGAAAAAATATATACGTCCTTTTCTGCTTTGATAGCTGATAAAGAAAAAGCGTTGGAATTATTTAAAGCTGAGGCGGAGAAATGGAAAAAATTGGATAATGCATATCGTATTATGCTTGCAGAGCAGGAAAATCATCATAAAGGATCATCATCTGATTCCAATAAAGTTTCTGATGAAAAGAAAAAAACAGGTTTTATTCAAGATAATGGAATTATTGAGAACTCGAATCATGCGGAAGTTGAGGAACAAATTATCGAGCGTGCACAATCGTTAACTTCATTGACTGCTCCAGATGTATTTTTTGATGCTGAAGATATCGTATTAAGTGCTGACTCATTAAATGGAGATAGTGATGCTGACGCTGTTGAAGTATTTGATGAGGAAAGCGAAGAAGATGTAGTGCTAATAAAAGATATTATCGAGGAAATTGAAATTCCTATTACTACTACTAACGAGGACCATGCACTTACTAGAACAATCAGTTTTCGTCGAAGAAAACATTTGCCTTCTCCTATATGTGGAGATGATGTCAGTCTCTTATCTATTCTTCGAAAAAATGTCGGCAAGGATCTAGCAACCATCGCAATGCCTATTTCTCTTAACGAGCCAATCAATGTTCTTCAACGCTTAGCTGAAGAATTAGAGTACAGCGAGTTATTAGATAAGGCCGCAGAAAATGTTTCATCATTGAATCGATTAATGTATGTGTCTGCATTTGCTGTTTCTGGATATGCATCAACCCAACATCGGGCTGGTCGAAAACCTTTTAATCCACTGCATGGTGAAACATACGAATGTGTTCGGCCTGATAAAGGTTTTTTTTTAAATATTTCATCTTTTTTATCATAAAATTCATTTTACTAATTGTTAATGTGGTGTTTAGGCTTCAAATTTATTTCCGAGAAAGTTAGTCATTATCCACCAATTATGGCCGTAAGTATCTGAATTTATTTAGAAAATATTTAGGTTCAAAAAGCCAGAACATTTAAAAAAACTGAATAATTCTTAGTGTCATGCCGAATCCGCAAATTGGAAATTCTGGCAAGATTCAAAAATTAAAAGCAAATTCTGGGGTAAGCAAATTTTTGTTTGAATTTTCCGATATTCTAAATTGTTATAGTGTATTAATTTTGAATTTCTGCTTTAGGTAAATCTATGGTATGTGAACTCTCTAATTTGAAATATAGGATATTTTAAATGCTCACTTATAATGATGCATACAGGAATTAATACCGTCAGGAACTGTACATGTGACTATCCCCAAATATAATGATCATTTTACCTTTACGAAACCTTCCACATGGATGCGTAACATGATATCTGGCACTAAGTACCTAGAGCATACCGGAGTATTACGAATTCAAAATCAAACCACCGGTGAAGCTTGTGAAATCACCTTCAATCAAAGTGGATTTTTTAGTAATGGCCCTCAAAATGACATAGCAGGGAAATTATTATCAGCAAATGGCAAAAAAGTTGGAACACTTACTGGCCGCTGGAATGAAACAGTATTTCATGAAATTGGACCAAATCAACTGGAAGTTCTCTGGAAAGCAAATCCACCGATACCCGATTACGAACAGTATTACGGCTTTACACAGTTTACCATCGAACTGAACGAACTAACACCGGATATTGTTGACTTCTTGCCGATTACAGATACGCGGTTTCGGCCAGATCAAAGATTGTTTGAGGAAGGAAAAGTTGAGGAGGCTGAACGAGAGAAATTACGCGTTGAGCAGAAACAACGAGATTTCCGGAAACATTTAGAAAAGATCGGGCAGGAATGGAAGCCACAGTGGTTTAAGTTAGTGAATGATGAATGGGTTTATACTGGTGGATATTTTGAAGCACGCGAGAAAAAGATGTTTGAGAAAAAAATTGAATTATGGTAATAACAATTAACATATACATAAGCTTTTTCCTCTAAATAATGGATTTTCTCATGGAGAATAGATGAATTGTAAGAAAGACATAATTCACTTCCTATTTATTTACTTACATTCTATCTATTTTTCAATAAGAATGATATAACATTATGTGCGTTAATTTAATTTCATATACTAATTGTATATATCGATATAAATAAACATCAATGATGTAACTAATTATAAAGTATTTATTCCCAATTTTGCTATATTAATTTTACATCTAAATTCTTCCAGTCCTGCCATCGATGTTAATTTCAGGCAAATATTGGACCGAACAGTTAACATCTTGGCACACACACAAACACACATATATATATATATTTAATACAAATACCTGTCATCAAGAAATTTTTTGTTAACTTGAAAAATATATTCATATAATAATATAATTTGTTGTGTCGCTCCAATTATGTATTTCCAAAATTAATCATTCTCAGCATGATGTAATAATGTAATAATTCGCATTTAATTTGCATTAATTTGTATGTTTCAAATTTTTGAGAAGAAATTAAGAATATACACATTAAGATTTGATTTTGCATTAATCATGCACATATTTACAATTTGGTCTATTGCAATCTCGCCCAAACCAACACGGAGTGCCACGTCCACGCCCCCTTGAGGTGGTTCGATCATCACGAGACGACCATTGTTGCCGATTATCTGATTGAGGACGAATTTCCGATTGAGGTGGCAGTGCACGTCCTTCTCCATACTGCTGCGGCTGTCCTTGAATTTGCTGCGGCGGAGGCTAGGATTGACAATTTTGATTGGTGGAAAATAGATTTGATGATTACATTTATATTAAATTGGACATCATTCGTTTTAATTACAAACCTGTCGATGAAAGTCTTGATAGTCTGGATAATGATGATGCATTTGAGGTTGAGTTACATGTGAGGGCGACGGCTGCTGCTGCTGCTGTTGTTGTTGGAATTGCATATGCTGCTGGTGTGGAGGGGGTGGAGCAATTTGTGATTGTTGTTGAGGATGTTGGGGAAAGCCCATCATTCCTCCCATCCGATTCTGTTCTTGATAATTCCACTCATTATTGGGAATTGGCATTGGTGGTTGTTGCGGGGGAACCATTCCCATTGCAGTTCCTCCAGATGATCCCGCCATCATGGAAGAAGAATGCATATCCATTCCCCCAAATAAATTAACATTATTTCCTACAGGGAACAATGGGGCTGTTTGTTGAGGATGAGGAGGAACTTGTATATGATTATGAGGAGGAATATTGTTGGCCAAATTAGACCCATTATTTGAAAATGTTTGCAAATGAATGTTTTTTTTAAGTATTTCTATAATTTCTGGTGTTTGATTTGCTATTTGAGGAGTTGTATTTGTTAAATTCATATTTGTTGTAACAGCACTAGTAGCAACACCATTTTGCATTAATGATCCATCAGTCTGTATTTGAGAAATCTGAAAAGACAAAAAAAAAGAAGGGAGAGAACTAGTTTTAGCATCGTCTTCATCTTTATTATAATAGAATCCGATATGATATTCTACCTGGATTTGCTCATCTAATGGGATTTCTAAACATTTTTGATTAAAATCAATCATTATTATGTCATTGGGTTCTTCCGGACTATCTGGAACATGTTCCCTTTTCAGGTAAATTGTTTCCAGTATTGATTTTTGTCTGTCTTTTTCCATTCTCGCTTGAGCACTAACTATTACGGGTATATTAATGGATTCCAGGTTTATTTCTATTAATAGAGAAAAATCATTTAATTTAGCAATACGTTGCAAATTGAGAAAAGAATGAAAGTTGATAAATAGATAGTATAAATACCAATAGGCGTATACCACTCCATCGTAGGAGTTATAAAGGATCTTTTAAATACTGCTTGTCCTTCATTAACTTCGAGATCTCTCGCATTGCCAAATTGATGTGGTATATTGCTTCCCATTGAGAGCTAAAAAGAATATTTGTGTATTTTTATATATATGGTATAACTGTTGATAAACATAAACATATTAAAAGCAAAGAATTCATTGTGAAAACACACCTCATCTTCATCTTCTGTGTCTTCTGACTCAAAAATTTTGATCTGACGAAGCAAATTTTCAGGAGCGAAGGAGACCCTCTTCCTTTTTTTATTTCTGTCGACCTGCATTTGAGTATCCTCTACTATTGAAGTTTTAGCTTGGACATTTATTCCTTGATTACGGCTTTCCAAAGCAATCTCAAAGGCCGTCTTTGTTGATTCTACACGTGCGGACATCGTTGATGCCGTAGATTCAGATTCTTTAGCACTTTTTAAAGAATAAAGTAAAAGCGAATGAACTCCATACATTTGATCAGATAGCAAATTATAACATTGGACCAGATTTCTTACGTACATAGCATTGTTATCCTTGTCTTGCTTTATTTCAGGATTTGTTGGTTCTTTAACAGGCAATGATTTCGATTTTTGGCTTGAACTTGTGGATTCGACGGAAACATTAGTAGTGGAGGCTGCAGTAACTTTCCCTATTTCTCTAACGGTGGACTTGGGCGCTGTTAAAGCTGCAGATTTTAGTTTCGTTTGAGGTTTTCCAGCAGCAGACGATGAAACAGCACTAATAGTTCGTCTTGAAGACTATTTAAAGAATAAATGATTTTTAAATTTCATCTCTTCTTAATTATGATGTATAATGATATTTCTAATACCTCAGCTGATATTAATTTAGATGTCTCTGCGGTTGAGGCAAATTTCTTTTGGGCTATAGAGTATATGGATAAGAGATTGTAAATTAAATGAATTATATTTTATATTTCACTAAATCAGTAAAATAATATATTTTACCGTCCGATAATGTGCTTGCACTAAATTTAGAGGATGTAGCAGTAGCAGTGCTTGTACTTATTTTAGCAAATGAGTTGTCACTTCTTTTTTTAATAAAAAAAGAATTAAATTAAATCTATAAAAAACACGCAACAAAAGATAATTACAAAATTTACTAAACTTACGTTTTTATTCGCTTTGATTCAGATTCCTCTAACATAGAATTAAAAAATAAAATTTAAAAAGTTATTAAAAGAATCGAGATCTAACTTGTAGAGGTTGAATAATTACCCGATGTTTCTAGCAACTTTTTCCATTTATCAATAAGCTTTACCGCCATTTTTCGGACATCTATGATAAAATTGGTTTGAGTCAAATTTGTTTTTCTGGAATCTAATAATCCAAGAATCATCATCCTACCTACCAGATTGTTCGCTCGAATTCTTTGCCCCTTTGTTGACAGCCTTGCCTAACTGCGACGCAATCAAACCTTCTTTATCTAAGGGTAAGCGATCTAATACCTATATTCATTTTATCAAAAAATCGTACATAAACATTTTAATATTTTTTCTTTATTAATTTTGCATATTGTAAATGGATCTTTGTTTTCTATGATTTGTATCTTCAATGAGCGCCAAATTCAATATCATTGAAAATAACTTTTCATCGAATTAGCTATTAAAATTTAAGTATAGAAAAAAATATTTTGGAACTTTATTTACACAAAACATCTGAATGTATTTTAGTCGCACCATAAATCTCGATATCACGCTTTTAATGTTATATACAAGTTTATTTATACGTACTTCTAGTATTTTCACCAATAAAGGACTATTATTTTCCTTTAAAGCTTCCATCAACCAAACTCGTAAAACATGACCCCCTTTTGATTCGATAAAGCTATAAATAACAATAAAGTAATCAAACAACGGAAAACAATCTAGCAGGAAAATTATCAAAGCTTTTGCCATTGACACACACCACAACATACCTTTTTAGAATGACTACATCTTGAGTTCTTCCGATAGCAGCAAGAATAAGAGCTCGACGGGAAATAACTTTTTCATCTTTCATAACTTTCACAAATTCTTTAACTTGTTTGGATGATCGCAATCCCATTGATGATGAATTCAAATAAGGAAGCAAAAACTAAATTTTTAATTGAGTATTAATGATCTTGAATCACAATGCGAAAATTAGGATTTAGAAATAAAATTAGATGATCATAATACATCTTCCGGTGTAGATTCTTGAGGTTGATTGGCGAGATCTTGCATTTCTTCATCCACGACTATATAAAATTCATTTGATTTGATTTTTTAATTTGCAGAATTAAAAACACACAAAATAAATAAATAAAATGGACTCACCTGATATCTCTTTATCTTCTTCATGTTCATTATCATCTTCTTCCTCAATAATATTATACACCTGTGGATGATCAATAGGATACTGATATGGTGTTTGATGCATTTCAATATTGTGCATATTTTGAAAATCGTGCAAATTTTGCATAGGAACTAAATATGCTAAGGAACCATTCAATAAGAACGAATTATAATTGTTCAAATGAAATTGGCAAAAAGGTATGCCCAAAATCATCACTTACAATATTCTTCAACATTACTCGAATATGTTGTAGCGGGTTTCGGTACTATTCTCGGAGTTACACGAGGTGCTACGCTAACTTGTCCACTGTCAATAACTTGAGTAGTGGTAGGATCGTTATCTTTTCTTCGCCTCCTCGTAAACCAATTATTGACCTTATGAGAAAAAACCAATGCTTCAGCACAAACTTCTTTTTAAATGAGGGAAAAGTGGTTATTTTTTATTCTCACTTGGTCTTCCTTTATACCCAAGGCTGCTGCCATCATGGTTTTTTGAGCTTTGTCGGGATAACGCGAAAGTTGATACATCGTTTCCAAGTATTGGTTATGTTGAGGAGTAAACCTCATTCTGCCGCGAATTATTGTCTGTTGGGGTTCTTGTTGCTGCTGCTGTTGTTGCTGTTCTTCTTCCATATTTTCAATTGACCCAATACTCGAGTAAATGGAGGGATGATTCCCATGTTCAATTTGCATGTTTTCCTTTTCAAACGTATACTATAAATTGAAGCTCATAAGCTTTCAACTTGGATGCGCTAAAAATTTACTTACTAATGGCTATATTTATATTACTTATATAAAAGATGGCCTTTATAATCACGTTGCCTTTATTCATTCAACCGTATCAGGTGACCCGGAAATATTTCGCACGCAGACAATTCAAGTTGCGTAGTAACACTGCGCCCGGGTATTTTTTGCTGGGGCCCGCAGATTTGATAAATCAGCAAATATTAATTATAAATAGCACTAAAATTCTAAAATTGCAATTTTATTTCCCGACCGACTGACTCAGCATTAAAGAATTATACGAAAAATTGCACTTCTTTATTCACCGACCGACTCTATTAAAAAATCATGGACGTTGACACCACCCTTGATGAAGGACTCTACAGTCGCCAGCTGTAATTTTTCATTCAAATTTATATCAAATAAAGAAGCCACGAAGCAATTTTATATAAATGTTCAAATTCTACTCTCATTTAGTTATGTGCTTGGCCACGAAGCTATGAAAAAAATGGGCAACTCTAACGTTCTTATAGTTGGCTTAAAGGGACTTGGGGTTGAAATAGGTAATTACAAATAGGTTGAAATTTTTTAACCTTAATCAGCCAGAGAAAAGACTAACTTCTATTCATTCAATACTAGCCAAAAATGTAGTTCTTGCGGGAGTAAAGAGTGTTGCACTCTATGATCCCGCTCCAGTAAAATTGTCTGATCTATCAACTCAGGTTATATGTTTATCCTATTATATTTATTACAGTTCATACTTCTTACAAGTTGATCTAACAAGAGAATCTTATTATATATCAAAAATATAATAGTTCTTTCTTAAAGAAGAGGATATCGGTAAACCACGAGCAGCCTCGACAGCTCCTCGTTTGGCAGAATTGAATCAATATGTTCCTATCCATGTGTTAGAAGGAGACCTAACAATTGAAAAGATAAAAAATTATCAGGTGTGCAAAAGGAGGCGCCTGCGTTATGCTTATTAGCATCAAATTAAATTTCCTCTTATGTTTAGGTTGTTGTATTGACGGAAACTACATTAGAACGTCAATTAGAAATTAATGACTTTACACATAAGAACGGAATCAGTTTTATCTCAACAAATGTTCGCGGTCTTTTTGGGTATTTCTCAATTATTTCTATTTAAGTGTTATAATATACCAGGATTTAATCGATTCTTGTTATTAGAACTGTGTTCAATGATTTTGGTGAAAATTTTGTCGTGAATGACACAACTGGCGAAAATCCATTGACGGGAATGATTGCAGCAGTCTCCAAGGAAATAGATGGGGTTGTTACGTGTCTTGATGAAACAAGACACGGTCTAGAAGATGGCGAATACGTCACCTTCTCGGAAATTAATGGCATGGTTGAATTAAACAATTGTGAACCAAGAAAAATCAGAGTACTGGGTAAGTATTAAATTTGACCATTGTTATATTGAATTAATTATCTCACATTTCATTTATTTTAAGGTCCTTATACATTTAGCATTGGGGATACTTCTAACTTTGGCGATTATATTAGTGGAGGGACATTTACCCAAGTTAAACAACCAAAGACGCTATCCTTTGTAAATTTTTATTACTACATTTTATACTTTAAAAATTTTGAATATTATTTTAATATATGAATTATTAATGTTGAAAATTTCATTACATATAGAAATCGCTTAGAAAAGCATTAAAAGAACCTGAATATCTCGTTTCAGATTGGGCAAAATTTGAACGATTGCCTCATTTGCACATAGGTTTTCAGGCACTTTCTAAATTCACGGATAAACATGGGTCTCTTCCACGCCCGCGTAATGAATCTGATGCTAACGAAGTATTCAAATTAGCCAATTCTATCAATGATCAACTTGAAGAGAAAGTAAGTGATTCTATTAATTTTTTTCTAAAAACTTGATAATTACTCTTGTATCTTATTCACATTTATATTTTTATAGGTTGAACTCGATGAGAAGATAATTAAACAACTAGCATATGGTGCTGCAGGAGATTTGTCTCCCATGATTGCCGTAATTGGTGGCTTTGTAGCTCAGGAGGTTTTGAAAGCTTGCAGTGGAAAGTTTCATCCTATTTATCAATTCTTTTATTTCGATTCTCTGGAATCTTTACCAACCAATATAACTCTTACCGAAGAATCTTGTCGTCCGGTACACAAATTTTTTATACATTTTTTGACAACTTCAATTATATATAAAATGGTTATTTAATCTATTCAACATTAATAGATTGGGTCTCGTTACGATGGGCAAATTGCCGTATTTGGCAAAGAATTCCAAGATAAAATTGCTAATTTCAAAGAGTTCCTGGTACATCATCGTTGCGAAACTATTTCACGCAGATTTCACATTTTATTTATGTTATTAATACATTTTGTGACAGGTTGGTGCTGGAGCCATTGGATGCGAAATGCTCAAAAATTGGGCTATGATGGGATTAGGAACAGGTGAAAAAGGCCACATTCATATTACTGATATGGATACGATCGAAAAGAGCAATCTTAATCGGCAGTTCTTGTTTCGTCCTGATGATGTCGGGGTATGTTAATTTGTCAAACTTCAAAATGTCTATTAATTTCGTGATCAAATTTTTGATAAATGGATGTTTCCTATAGAAATTAAAATCGGCAACAGCAGCAGCAGCTATTGGGAAAATGAATCCAGATACTAAAGGAAAAATTATTTCTCATGAGGATCGCGTTGGTGTAGAAACAGAAAGTAAATATTTTCTTTATTAAAGTAAAATTCCATTATTTGTTGCTTGCAATTATTTACTATAATTATCTTACAGATGTCTATAATGACGATTTCTTCGAGTCGCTCGATGGTGTCACTAATGCATTAGACAATGTTGATGCTCGTAAGCTACAATGGATCTTGTGAAAATATAGTCTGTATCAATTATATTAATGCTTTACGGTCTAAATTTTTTTCATAGGTAAATATATGGATCGACGCTGTGTTTATTTCAGGAAGCCATTGTTGGAATCTGGAACTTTAGGTACCAAGGGTAACACACAAGTTGTCATCCCCTATTTAACGGAATCATATTCATCATCTCAGGATCCACCGGAAAAATCCATTCCGCTTTGTACATTAAAGAACTTCCCTAATGCTATTGAGCACACTATTCAATGGGCGCGCGAATTATTTGAAGTGCTATTCAAACAGCCTGCAGAAAATGTGAACCTTTATCTAAGTCAACCTAATTTCATAGAGTCAACTATGAAGCAAGGTGTTAATCAGAAGGAAACATTGGAGGGTATTAAAAATTTTTTAGTAACAGCAAAACCATTAAGTTTCGATGAATGTATAACATGGGCAAGACTCCGCTTTGAAGAATCGTTTAATAATAATATTCAGCAACTTTTATTTAACTTTCCCAAAGATTCTGTATGTCAAAAATTAATCTTCCTTGTTTTGATGATAATTCAATTTATTAATTACTTCGCTCATTATTACATATTGAAATAGGTTACATCTTCTGGAACACTGTTTTGGTCTGGTCCGAAGCGCGCACCAACTCCAGCAATCTTTGATCCTGAAAATGTATGAATAACTATACTGTTATTTTTCCATAATTAGAAAGCATGCTAATTATTTGTTGCATTTTAAGGAAACACATTTAGATTTCATTATTACTGCTGCAAATCTTCATGCATTTAACTATGGCCTTAAGGGTAACTTGAAATTCCGGAAAGATTCATTGAAAAATTCATTTAAACTGAATCTAATTTTCATTATTTTTTGTCAATCCAGGAGAAACGAATCGTGAATATTTCAAACGTGTTGTAAGTAATGTTATTGTACCTGAATTTACACCAAAACAAGGTGTGAAAATTCAAATTCAAGAGAACGAAACGATTCAACAAACTTCAGCGAACGAGCAAGAATTGCAAGATATAATTGCATCTCTGCCACCGCCTTCAACATTAGCCGGTTACCGACTAATTCCAGTCGAGTTTGAGAAAGATGATGACACAAATTTCCACATTGACTTCATCACAGCAGCATCCAACCTACGAGCAAATAATTACGCAATCCAACCGGCAGACCGTCATAAAACGAAATTTATTGCTGGAAAAATTATACCAGCCATCGCCACCACGACAGCATTGGTTACTGGTTTGGTCTGCTTGGAATTATACAAGATTATTGACGGGAAAAATAAAGTGGAAGATTATAAAAATGGATTTGTCAATCTTGCTTTGCCATTCTTTGGTTTCTCTGAACCAGTTGCTATGCCGAAATTCAAGGTGAATAATGAAACGAATTATATTCTACTTTTTGATACCTTACGGTCATTCATGCTTATTATCATTAAACTCACTTATTAGTATCATGAAACTGAATGGAGCCTGTGGGATCGATTTGATATCGAAGGCGATCTCACACTACAAGAATTCCTAGATTATTTCGCAACTAACCATAAACTAGAAATTACAATGTTATCATGTGGTGTCAGCATGCTTTATTCTTTCTTTTTACAAGGCAAGAAGAAAGAGGAACGCAAAAATATGAAGTGAGTATAAGACATAGATTGCTTCAAGTTCATTGCTAATACTAAACTTTTGCTTTTTAATATTTAGAATATCGAGCTTAGTAGAATTAATATCCAAAAAACCAATTCCTCCCCATGTAAAGGCGCTCACACTAGAGATGTGTGTAAATGATCGTGACGGCGAAGATGTAGAGGTTAGTGAATATAATATTTATTTTATTTCTCGAGATATTTTTTTAAATTAATCATCTTCGTGGATTTTTTAGGTTCCATATGTTAGATTAGTCATTAGAAAATGAATCAACTTCATTCAATATAGGTCTTAGAAACTTACTATAGAATTTTTTATCATAGTGCATAATAAAGTATGTTATTCCCGAGACGAAATTTAGGAATTTAAATATTTAAAAAATTCAATTATAGATGCAGTCTTTATTAAATATTTGTTAATTGTAATTATTATAAAGTTATTATAAAGTGCATAATTTATTCCTTAAAATATATTATAAAATTTTTTTACTTTTCCGATGTGAAAGATAACATAAAGTTTAATTATAAAAAATACACGATATATGTGACATATTTCATGATACAAGATATAATACTAGAACTCATGCATTAGTAGATGATGTTCTGCCTTTCCTTTTTCCTTTTACTACAGTTGTAAATCCATCACCATCATCTTCAGCAAGTGATGCAGTGGTCTGTAATTGTGATTTTGATGCGGGAGATGTTGCAGATCTGTCTTCTTTATCTCTTGGACTATCTCGCATTTTGTCTTGACGATCACCACCTTGGCGCCACTCACCTCGATCCGATTTGGACTCATCGCGTTGTGAAGGAGTACGTCGCCAAGTGTCAACTTCATCAGCAGCGTTAGAAGTACGGGCTGGACGCCATGTTCCACTTGCGCCTTTTTGTGACTCGCTCTCTTCCGGTGATCGTATATTGTCTTGACGATCACCACCTTGGCGCCACTCACCTCGATCCGATTTGGACTCATCGCGTTGTGAAGGAGCACGTCGCCAAGTGTCAACTTCATCAGCAGCGTTAGAAGTACGGGCTGGACGCCATGTTCCACTTGCGCCTTTTGGTGACTCGCTCTCTTCTGGTGACCGTATAGGTTGTTTACGCCAAGAAGGTCTTTCCTCGGTGACTCCTTTATCAGTCTTACGCCTTTCAGTAACTTCTTTGTCATCTGCGGCACGAGTAGGACGCCATGGTTCACTAGCTTTAGTAGTTGACCTTCGCCATTCTGTTGTTTCATTTGGTACTCGTTCAGTACGAGAAGCAGGAGGAACGTATCGAGTAGTCGTAGCTGGCGTTGTAATTGATTTTTCATCTCGTTTGCGCCAATTATCGCGTTCACGCTCTTTCTCTCTCTTTTCTTTTAATTCGCGTTCCTCACGTTCTTTAGCTAAACGCTCTTCTTTCTCGCGCTCACGTTGCAATCGTTTTTCTTCTGCTTGGAGTTCTCTTTCTTTTTGTTTGGCAGCAATCTCGTCGAGTTTTCTAACATATTTATAAGTCAGAAAACATTCAAACATAGCTCTAGAACGTCAAAAAAATGACCCTTACCGTTTCTTTTCCTCATAAGCGGCTTTTTCTGCTTCTTCTTTGGCTCGACGCTCGGCCTCCAAGCGTTCCTCCTCTATTAACATAGATTAATCTCTTAAATCATATCAATATTCCAAAAACAAGTATAGTATAACAAACCTTCGCGTCTTCGCCTTTCTTCTTCTTCCGCCTTCCTTCTTGCTTCCTCTTCTGCTTCTTTTCGTTTCCGTTCTTCCTCTTTTTTTGTCCTGAATATTTGCCTTCGTTTTTCTTTTTCCTCTTCTATCTTGGCTTGAGCTGCCCTTCTTAATTCTTCGAATTGTTCGGATCTCTTGTTCTCAATTTCTTTTCGATATTTATGATAGTCAGGCAATATTCTCGAAAGCCTAGCTTTTAATTTCAGATCGGCGGCATGTTTCGAGGCGGTTGTATCAAGTTGAGCTTTACGAGCAGCTTCATGGTATGCTCGATCGGCTTTCCTTTGCCGCTCATAATCTTTCTCAAGCAAAGGGATTTCTTCTTTACGATAAGCGCGTTCAAGATGATCCATTCTTTTTGCGGTAGCTCTTAATCGTTCGTTGAGTTCCTTTTTCTCTTTTTCTAACTGTTCAACTTGGAGTTGAACTAACCTATCGGTGTCTAGATTTTCCAAATCCTAAAAAATATTACAAATATTACGATTATAAATAATGGGAGTACAACTTAATTTTTAGAGCCTTAATTCTTACCTCCGGTTGAACCTTTAGATTTTTCGATTTCAAAGATTCTGCTAATTTCCTGGCCTCTTCCTTTTGAATAGCTTCATGTTCACGTTTGCGCCTCTCTAATTCACGTTTCTTTGCTTCTTCGAGAAGTCTTTGTGCTTCTTCTTCAGCTCTTTGTTTTTGACGTAATGCGCGCTCCCGTTGTTCTTCTTTCTCTTTGCGCATCAATAATGTTTCAGCTAGTTCTTTTCTTCGCTCAATAATTGCTTTACGTGCCAAAGCTTTGTTATGCTCCTCTTCAATTCCAACAAAGGCACGTTCAAGTGCTTGCCTTCTAGATTCTTTCTTCGCTTCAGTAATGCTAGGATCAATTAGATGGACTGTAGTATAAAAACATTTGGCCAGTCTCGATAATTGATCTCGCATACGATCCGCTGGTGATGCTTGCAATTTAGCGCCATCAGCATCAGCATCTTTAGAAGCCGAAAACAAATCCGTCTCAAACGTCAAACTATTGGTCACATGATCAATTCGGATGGCAAGCTCGCCTTTTTTGCATCCGTTCATAATGAATTTTTCAATAGTCGCGGCATCGTAATTATATGGTGGCGCGAAAGAAGCTAATTTGATGACAAATTCAAGTTTAACGCTATCGTAAACTTGGGAAAGTTGTTGAAATAGACGCGTTAAGATTACTTGATGCAATGGCTTGACATATCTAGCCATTTCGGTATCTTGAGCAAGTTGTGTCATGATCGGTTCAATCTTTTTGCAAATAGACAATGGATGAAATTGGACTTCCAGAATATTGTAGAGATCTCGTAATTCTGGACGAACTCGCCGAAGAATATTTTTGTTGAGCTTTTTTTTCAATTGTCAAAATTTCAAAGTTTTAGAATTCGATCAATTATAAGATAGCTTAAAATCAAAAAAGTTTCGATTGCAAAATAATTATATACACACTGCTTCCTTCAATAAACCTGTGCGTGTAGGAGATCGATTCATTCCAAGTAAAGCGGCAAGCCGATGTTGTTTACTTTTATTATCATCAATTTCAATCATAGCACGAGTTTTGTTACTCGTTATTACTGGGATAGATAACGCCGATAACAACACAAACGAGGCATAACGCGTATTATCTTCAATGCTCAAAGCTTTATTTTGCGCCTTCACTAAAGTATAATATCTATTCCAAGCAGCGGCATGGAACAAGTAATTCTCGCTGACCAAAAATATCTTTGTCAATTTATCATAGTAATTAGCCATCATGTTGGGTTTAGGCGGTTTTTTTGACATCGATAAGAGATTATGAATATCTTCGATCGAACGAAAAGCTTCCTGCCACAATTCTAACTCGACAGCGGCATTCAATTGCGCAAATCGAGTGTCGAGATGGTGTTGAAGTGTTTCAGGCTCATTTAGATTAATTGCATACATTTGATGTGCATATTTTGCTATATTCTGAAGATGAATACGAAGTAGATCACAAAGACGTCTAAACTCGGTCTTTCTTGTATATTTGAGGCAAAATTGAAACGCTTGATTCGCTGTGGACTAGAATTAAAAAAATTACAAGACACGATGAATTTGAATTTGTATGACTAAATAAATCACATTCAAAAAAAGAAACAGATTCTTTACTTGATAAAATATCTCTAATCTCGCATTATTCCTCAAGATATCCAACACGGTCCTATAAGCTTCCCACAAAAATTTTAACCATGGTGTAACAACCGCTCTATCTGTTCGGTCTTTACTCTGTTCACCGCTTACGGTACTTAACATTATAGATTCTGGAGTCTCCGAAGCTTCAAGATCATCAATAGCAAGAGCATCCAAAGTAATTTGATCTGCTTTTGCTTGAGCTTCTGTGACTTTTTCTTCAGAGAGTTCGATAAACCTTTTTATGACCAACTATGGAAAAATAAATTTAGAGAGAATGTTCGTCATCGATATTTAACGATAATAGAAAAAAAAACAAAATAAAGAATGATCTCTAAAATTCACCTCAATTGTTGTCACGCTAGTATTTTGTGAAATGTTTTTATATTGATGCAGCCCTTCTTTCACAATTTTTCCTTTCCTCAGATTAACACATAATTCAACGAATCGAAGCATAATTGGCTCCAATGCCGCGAGTGGTTGAGTGCGTGAACGCTTGGAAATGATTATCTCGTGAAGAGATTGCAATGCAGCGACATTCTGCCCAACCGCAATCAACTCTGAGAAAGAAAAGAAAGATCTTTATAAATGGAATATCTTGAAAACGGATAAATGGTTCTATAATTTATCAAATGTGTTTAAATCAAGCTCTATCTACAAAATTTTTAAAAGATTCATGCTTCAATGAAACAATTCATATACAAATTTACTATCAGTTAACATATAACATTTGAGAGTGCATGGTCATTCCAATCTTTAAAGACAAATTTCGTATTAAATTCATACCCAACAAAAAATCCTGATCAAGGAAATGATAAATAAAAAATGCTAGACTCAATTACCTTCTGCTCGTTTGAGAGCGTTTTCTGGACGTTGATAGAGGGGCGCCATTCCGACAATTCGTCAAACGAATCCGAAAAAGACAGTTTCGCGGATAGATGTTTTATCAACATAACAACAATGCCCACCATGTTTATCTACGAAAAAAGTATTCAAAAGTCGCTTCTGATTCGTTGAATCGAGTGACGTTTGCTTTTCAGCAGCAAAAAATTTTTCCGACTGATATGCTCGGAAGATTTGTTGGTACGTTCGTGATTTTTTTTAGAATTTCTCTCTCGCTTGTTCGATTAATTATTTAGACAATAACATGGGTTAGTATATTTTTACTCATCCATCAAGCTTTTATAATACAGACGAAGATTATATGATATCATGGCCTTGATAAAGTTATTTCGCGTATCATTCTTTAATTAAAGATTTCTAGAAGCAAATTTGCGCGAAAAGGATCATGTAGCATATAGTCCTCGCTTCGTTTGGTGATTGTATTTCAAATAAAGTTATATTCGTTACTTATTAGGTATCAGCAGAGACTCTCGTCACAAACGTTCTCATACCGGTGCGAAAAGAGCCCAATATCGCAAGAAGCGAAAGTTCGAATTAGGTCGTCAACCTGCCAACACTAAGCTGGGTCCAAAAAGAATTCATGAAGTCCGAGTTCGTGGTGGGAACCGAAAGTTTCGAGCACTTCGTCTAGATTCCGGAAATTTCTCTTGGGGTTCAGAGTCGGTCACGAGAAAAACCAGACTTGTCGCTGTTGTATATAATGCGTCAAACAACGAATTAGTTCGAACCAATACGCTAGTAAAAGGTGCTGTTATTCAAATTGATGCTACTCCGTTTAGGCAGTGGTACGAGGCTCATTATGCCCAGCCCCTCGGCCGTAGAAAAGCCAAGAAAGAAGGCATGGTATGTGTGAATTCACTAATCATCATTGAATAAAGAAAAAAATATATCAGGTATTAATTTCATAATGAATAAAAAAAAGGTCGAATCTGAAGAGTTAAATAAGAAGCGATCGAAGCATGTTCTAAGAAAAATTGAGAGCCGAAAAGAATCGTCAAAGCTTGATCCCCTGTTAGATGACCAATTTACCACAGGTCGTCTGTATGGTATGTGATTTTTGAACGCAAATTCTTGGAAAAGACGTGTAATTTTAATAAAATATTATTCTCTTTAGCAATCATTGCATCTCGTCCGGGACAGTCAGGAAGAGCAGATGGTTATATACTCGAAGGCAAAGAACTTGAATTCTACGTCCGAAAAATAAAATCCAAAAAATAAAGTGACACGAAATAAAAAAAAAAGTGTCGGCATGTATTGGATCACGAACAAAAACGTTTCGACCTGGTAATAAGCAATATATTTATTCTATCCAACTTTTTTTAATATCCTTATTGTATGATTGATTATGTGGATTAGCTTTTATTTCGATACAATGAAAAAATAAAAATATTATTAAGCTTATTACACAAATTAATGAGAATGATAATAATAATTGTGGTGTTGCCACTATATTCTATTTTTGCTTCTGTTGAAAAAATATTACATAATTTACAAAATTTCATAGTTATCGTCGCTAAAAAAAGACTGACGTCGAGAAAATTTTTGTTCAGTTCCGTCATCATCCAAATCCACCTCTGACATCACTTCGTGCTTTGAGCCATTTGTTTCGTCATCCTCTTGAACACTAAGAACCCCTTGGTCATTGTTCTCCTCCTCTTCAACTTGTGTCACAAATTGTTTTAAATCCTCAATATCATTTTCAATTACTGAAGATACATCACTAAAAGATCTTGTTCTTGAGAAAGGCCTTGGCGCGGGGCATGTATCCAGTATTGTGAAAAAAGGAAAACGCATGTCCATTTCCTAATTGAATCATCATGAACGGGAAATTAATTTTCACCTTCAGAATAGAAAAATTTCAACATTTCCAAAATATTTTAAGCATAAAATTCCGCTTACCCGCTCCACGCAATTACAAAAGTCATCGAAATCTTGTTTGCTCTGATATAAAAAACCCAAGAGCATAGAGGGATCCATTTCAGCTATATCCATTGTTCGAACAATAGTTGAATGATAATCCTAATAAAGTGAAAATACGTTTAATTAGCATAAAAATTCGGATTAATGTTAAACTAATAGATAAAATTGGCGCATCGAACCTCTATGGGAAATTCCATGCATTCGTCAAGATTAATAGCAGGTCGTACAAAGTGAGGATCAAGATATAAAAGCTCGTTATCTTATTAATGAAGCCTGATTAGATTGTGTAAGGCAAATTTTAAATTTTGTGATTGGAAGCATTAAATACCTTGGGTAGCAACAAAATATAATGAGCGACATGGTCTTCCGCCAGCGATTCCTAAAAATTGTGGTAATTTGAACAATTCCTACAGCAAAAAGTTCGAAAACAGAGAATAATTTGAGTATGATGATACAAAAAAATTAATGATGAAGCATGAAACCTAACTAAACCTAAAATACCTTTAAATTTGGCGAATAATTGGGATTCAACTTTTCGATGCCTAATCTAACCATACAAATCATAAAGAATTAGAGCAATATTATTATTTAACTTTAAAAAATCAAAGCATAATACAATAAAATACCTTATTGGGAGTAAAGTCACGATAGGTTTCCAATTTGACTTTAACTCGGTTTCCGATTCTCCCGTAGCTAAAGAGATGACATCATTTCGATATATTGTATTGTCAGTAGGTACATGAATTACAAGCGGACAATCTTTGTGTGATAGAGATAATCGCCTATTCATAAAAGGAACTTTTAAAATACAATAATAGCCAAAAAGTGGAAACAAGACGATTTAGAAACCTGCTTACTTTAAAGCATGCGCTAGCGTAGTAGGACCAAACCAGTCACCAATTTTCTTATCTAGTGCCACACCCGTACGTGCAATATTATGAATGGAATAATAATATTCAGATTCAGGACCATCCATAAACCATCGTAGAATCTTTTAATTGGAAATAATTAGCGAGAGAATTCACAATCAATATATTATTGTTCGATGCCAATTTTTCATACCTTTCGATATGTAGATTTTTGAGAATCTGTCTGTGAATTATGTATCCGCCAGTCTATTAAAAAATTTAATGTAGACTATCTCAAGCTCAACGATTAGCCAAAAGCGAAAAAGAATTAAATTTACCTCTGCCTAGCAGAACCCAAAGAAATGCTTGAGCCAATAGACTCTGGCCAGTGCGGTGCATGCAGCCCCACCCAGTGTCCTGAGTGTGAAATGCAGGTTCAATTGGAGGAAAGTCTTTTCGATAACAACAAAAAATCCTCGATTGAAAATCTAATAAAAAATCCATGAGTTGATTTTGATTAAGTGAAAGAGGGCCAAATGAATCGGGTCGATAAAGACTTGTTGGTGTTGTGGGTAATGATTTAGAAGATCGCCGAGATCCAATAGAGCCTACTTGTGATTGTCTTTTGCTAGCCCATTCTGGATGCAAAACACTTTTTCGATTAATGTTTGGATTACGTGAAAAATCACTAGTTATGTCAATGTCTTTATTCAAATCATATCGTGAAGATGATTTTTTATTATTAATGTCTTTTTGATTTGGTGTTTCATGACCCATCGCTTTTACATGGTTTTTGAGAATAGAGTTCCTGCTCACTAATTCTGATTTGGTCAAATTATCAATGTTATCACTAGTATCACTTTCGGTATCTGAATAACTCAGATCATCATCAGGAAAAATCGGGTCTGTATATCGACTTCTCCGTAACTCGTCTTCAACATCACCCGAACGAGTGACTTTTATTCGAGCGCCTGTATATTTTTGATCGTAATCTGCTTCCGTCTCTAAATGTGGATATAAAGAAGGTGCAGAGCTATTGAAATTTTTTTCTCGGTTACTGGAGAAAAATCCAAAGGTCTTTCTGCGTGGCTTTTTTGTTTTTTGTTGTAAAAAGTCATTTTGGGCAGAGTTAGATAATTCTAGACTATTTTGAGTTGTTGTGGAGACCATTGAGAATGGGCGTCGTATGTTTTGCCCTAATGATATCCTACGAGTTGAATGTGCAGGTGATGATAACATTGCAAGGTTTGGTTCAGAATTGTTTGATATGCTTTTATTTGAACGAGATAAACATGCTGCAGATTGTGTAGTATCAGTGCGCTCAGATTTTTTGCTGAAAGGAAAAGTGGGAATGCGAATTTTTCGATTGATTTGAGAATCTGATTGAGACGATGACACAGTCATCGAATTTTTATCAGGTAAAGAGGAAGATGATGGTTTGCGAGAAAGTGAGAATGAGCGCAATTGTCGTATAACTGCATTAGATCCACTAATGGAATTTCCTTTTCCCTTATTGGAAGATAAATGTATGTGTGGAGCACTAAGCTCTTGAAAAAACTGAGTAAATGAACGAGATTTATTCAATTTCTGATGTGAATCTTCTTCATTGTGAATTGGCTCAGGCTTTTCTGTCGTTTCAATATTATATTCTTCATCATCCTCGGATGAGCTAAACACGAAATTGAATAAAGAAGAAGCACGACCACCCCGGGCTTGCTCTCCTCTATCTATTTTTGGTAAATTAACAGCTCCACCTTCCTCTACATCAGGAATCAATTCGATAATGAATAAATGGAATTATCAACACAAAATGTTCGCAAACGTTGAAGATTTACCTGGAAATATATATGCGATTCCAAGCATCCATATCGGATTTAATGAATAAGTTGATTTAACTCGAGCCCTTTCATCAGATTTCATGTATTGCACAACTCGAGTATTATACAACCAATGCCTTAAAAAAAAGTAATACCATAAAGCGACAAGAGATAAAGATTTTATATAATAACAAAAAGAAGAAAAAGCGTTTTCATCTTTGTTTTTGCTAAATTCAATCAACTTTGGAGCTGAAATAAGTGATGCTGCCTGAAAGTTTTTGACCAACATTGAAAGGCAATATCATCATCACTTACTTATATTTCAGTCATGGATGAGAATCGTACAAATGAAAATTCAATGAGAAAAGAAAATCTCAACTAACCCCATCTTTTGAATAAAATCGGTCGACGAATTTCGACGTGCGTCATTGATTTCGTTAATAGACGGAAATTCATCCTTCATAATTTCCTCAGGTGGGGAAGTTGCAAAAGGGCTCTGAGCAGCGGATGAAGATGAAGATTCTTCTGCTGGTAGTGAATCAATAGATAAGTCATCGATGCTATCCCATTCGTCAGGACCTACGTTTTGAGGGGAAGATGGTGGCGTATAAATTCTGATAGTTGGTGTCGGCTGAGAAAGAGGTGGTGTCATAGTGACCTCGGAAACCTATTTATTTATGAACATTATGTCACGCGTATTATTTATGAAAAATATTAAGATACTTTGAATTGCTTACTCACCGACTGTACACTCATTTTGAATTTCCCTTTGAGCGACTTCAGTAACTTTGGCCACCTGAATTTGATGAATTCCCACCTCCTTCCACCGTTAGGTTCACTCGGGATAATATTGGTTTTCTTATTTGGTATCGTTCTAGCTTTCTAGCAAACCTTTCGTAGTGGTAATGGTGGGAAGAGAAATGCTACAAAGAATTTTTTCATGTGTCTTATTAAAAAAAACAAACTCGAAAGGAAACTAGAAAATTTGTTTGTCTCTAGAAAAAACAAACCAATTTTGCTCAATGAAATAAAATATATTTCTGAGAAAAGTTTAGAGATGGCTGTTGTGATTTTATATCGTTAATTAAAACTTTGGATTTTAAAGATTCAAGGTACCCGGGAACGGGCCAGTTATTCAAAAATAAATGACAATAATATTGGTTAGTGTGTATGTAGTACGAGAAATCACTCATGTATTTCCCCACAATACCTAGTTTGATTGTGCGTAGATATGCAGCAAAGCGAGCGTGCTCGTTTAAAGTGATCGATCCTTATGCTTCATCAATGCACCTTTGGAAAACTGTCTTCCTTAAGGAGAGTTGTTTTCTCTTTCCTCCTATTCGGGGTTTTATTTCTGGTTCAAAACCCCCTTCGAACATTCCCCTTACAGTTTTTTCCTGTTCGAAATTAAATTCGTGCATTTTACGAAGCTTTTCGGTTATTTCAACACAGAAATCCAATTCAACTCAATTCTTCTCACATAATAGCAACGATAATCTTCTAGAATCCGTAAATGATATAAATAATACGGATTCATTCTATCAATACTCCGAACCACAACCTTTTAGTGTAAATGCAGCTGCCCCTGCTGAAAACACTAATTTCATATTATCCGCTAACCAATCAATATTCGAGTTTGTCCGCGATTCTACGAATTTGCCTTGGTGGGCAACAATTATTGTGGTTACAGTATGTCTTCGAACTGTATTCACCCTTCCTATTGCGATATATCAGCAACAAAGAATCGCACGTATTATAGCGATTCAACCCGTGTTAAAATTACAACAGGAATTGCTAAAACGTAAGATTCTGTATGAATCCCGTGCTCAAAAATTACCTTATGAAAGATACGAAGAGTTATTGCAGAGCGAGGCAAGTAAGCATCCAAAGATTGAAATTTCATGTAAACCTCTAATAATCGAATGGGTTAATCATTAAGTCCATTCGTAGTGGAGAAAGCAATTAAAACGAATTTATCGAATGAATGATTGCGATCCGCTGAAAAGTTACATATTGCCATGGGTGCAGATGCCATTATTCATTTCTATGTCATTAACAATACGTGGGATGGTTGACGCGGATCTGACTGGATTAAGAGATGGTGGCGCATTGTGGTTTAGGGATTTATCTAAAGTCGACACAACATGGGTATTTCCCATTGCGATAGGTCTTGCCAACCTATTTAACATCGAAGTATTTACTTTCGCTTATTAACTATCCTTACCCTTTGATTTCATATCTTTTTATTCAATTCATTCTTATCTCTCATTAGATGAATGCTAAAAGTATAACGAAAAAACCTACGACTAAGCAAAAAGTAATGAAAAATATCATGCGGGGACTTTCGTTGTTTATGATCCCTGTCGCTTCACAAACTCCGATGGTTAGAATTAAATTACTTCCTTCATTATCCGGTATTTGTAATGACACCACTAATAATAATGTTACCTTTTTTTTTAACAGGCCATATGTTTATATTGGTTTACTTCCAGCTTGTATAGCGTGATACAGAACACTTCGTTTCGCATCCCCTTCATCAAAAAACGTTTGCGTCTTCCTTAGGATATACGCTAATGAGTAAAAAATATATTATCTTCAATCATAAGTTATGAAACTGTTTTCTCTTAGGTCATATGGGCAGCCGTCAATAGAAGTCGGGTAGATTCACAAAAATTAGATTTTGATCTTCGAAACAACTATCGATATTAAATATTGAGATACAGAGTGACCTCTTTTTATAGTGTATCAAAAAAATTTAATAGTAAAAAATTTTCAAAATCCACTATATCGAGAGTTTATTAGTAAATCTACTATATCAAATGGATTTTATTAAAGGTATTTTGGATATTATCCACTATATCGCGAGTTTAATTGGTTCTCACTATAAAGAGAGTCATTTTGTATTTAGAATAAATGAGGCGCGCTGCAACAAAACCAGACAAAATGAATAGTTAACGTCATCGGGGGGCCACTTATTTCCGTCTATGTAGTTGAACTAAACTGCAATATCATAAACAGGATTTTCAAATCTTCAAATCATCACAAACTTTGGTTAACAGGTATATAGAGATTAGGCGCTCGTAAATATTCGTTACAGGTAAAACTAAACAATACGTCAACCAAAGGCAACAAATAAAAATATCTATTTTCCTATATATAAATATATATATATATATATATATGATGAATGACAAATTTCTAACTGTATATTAAAAAGCAATCAAGTTCTTGAAAGTAGGCTGTGGTTGTAGTTGTTCTTTCAAAGTGTTTAAGGAAGTATTTGTCGAATTGCGAAAAGTGCTTTTCAAATCAAGACATCTTTTTGATGATCCAACTCAAGATCATGGATGATGAATTCATAAGTGCTAGTCATCATCTTAAGAATAGGACTCGTTTCAATAAGAGAACTTTATACTATTGAGATCGCAATACATCTCTCTGCCAGAAAATCTATTTAAATATGCTGAAGATTGATCGCTAAATAATGTAATACCAAAAGAATGTCCAAGTAAAAATCAAGATGATTATTGATAAAGATCTGACTATCGTAATAAAGAATTTTCTTTTGAATTATGTCAAAATATATTAATATTTTACTAATATTAAATAATTTTATTAATATATTATCATATAATAAAATTTTTGAATTATTTTACAAACTTAATAATTCGATTTTTGCTAATCATATAATAACTTTCAAATTTTAAGTCTTGTAATTTTCTTAATAATTTGTTATATTAATTCTTTTTTATCTTATATTTGAATTTTTCTTAATTGATAAAAATCTCATTAATAATATTTTATCTCTCATATATTAAAAATAAATATATTTTTCTTTATTAATAATATTTATTTTTTTAAGATATCTTTCAATTTTTATTAATTATTTCAAAATATTCTCACATTATAAAATTTTTCAAAAAATAAAATAATATTTTTATTATAAATTATTAAATATAAGTATAAAATTTTCTTTTTTAAAAATAATATAAAAAAATATTATCTTTTAATATAAAATTATAAATCAAAATAATTTAATATATTATTAATAATTTATCTGATTTATCTTAAATAAATATCATAATATCTTTTAATTTATATATATTATTCTAAAATTCTTTATTTTTTCTTACTTTAATAAATTTTTTAGTTTATATAATATTTAATATTTCATATTTTAATAATTTATAATTAATATTTCTTTGCAAATATTTTTTATTAATAGATTTATAACTCATATTAATATTTTTTATATATTTATTAATACTATATAGATTAATTAATCTTTAAATATAAGTTTTAAATTTAATATTTTCTAATTTATCTTTATTATAAAAATTAAATTATATATAATTTGCTTTCTTCTTGAATTATATTCTTATTATTTTATAATATCTATATTTATTAATAATTAAATATTAATTCAAAGAATATAATAATAATATAATTAAATAATTTATTTAATTATAATAATTTTTATATTAATAATCTAATTAATTTTTATAAGAAATTATTACTTATATTATTAAAAAAAACTTAATAATATCTTTATATAAAGTAAAAAAATATTTCTTTATATCTAATAATAATTTGATAAATTAGTTTATAAATTAAAATTATATATCTGATTCTATATATATTAATTATAATAATCTTTTAATAATTTAATTTTATTTTAAAAGTTTTATTTATAAATAAAATATAATTAGATCTTTTATAATTATATTTTTTTATAATCATCTTTTTTTATAATTATTTTTTTAATTAATAATCTATTAATAAAAGAAAAATAAATAATTACTAATAAAAAATTAAGATAATAAATACTATATATATTTAAAATCTCTTTTCTAAGTAATTACATATTTATTTTTAATAAAAATATAATATTTCAAATTAATAATTTTTTATTTTAAAAAATCAAAAATTTATTTAATTATTTTTTTATATAAATTATTAAATAAATATAAAATTAAATAAAAAATAATTTATAATATATATAATTATTAATAATAATTTATTTATATTTATTTTAGAAATAGAATTATTATATATCTTTAAATATAAATAATTTTAAATATAAGTAATCATCTCTTTTTAATAAGATTCTAAATGATTCAGTTCAAATCAGATCCTAAATGATTTAATTCAATTTGATTCTGATTCGATTCTTAATTTTTAAAAGAATTAAACTATTATGATTTAATTCAATTTTGATTATTAGCAGTTATGAAATTGAATCAAATTGAATTGATAATTTATTGTATAACCTGATGTAATTTTTCTGTCAAATCATTTTTTTCCTGAATAGGTAAATTTTTTTTTATTAACAAATGACCAACCAGATTTAGAAAAGAGCAGTAGTACCCTGTATAATACTTTTAGTATGATAATATCTGACAAAAGTAAGAAGATAAGGAGTATTATTTAGATGCACTTTAGTTGGGATTATGTAAAAAATAAGACAAAGTGTAACTATTGCAGGTGAGTAGATTAGTGATGAGTTTAGTAGTATGTTTAATATCAAAAAGAGAAGAAGAGAAACTTAAGAAAATATAATGCGTTTAGTATCAAAAAGAAAAGAAGGAAACTTAAGAAATTTTTATTTATATATGATGCATTTAGTAAGAGAAAACTTAATAAAATTTTATTTTAACAGAAGTTATTATGTATGTGTTGATAATAGTACTTCAAATTTCTATAAATATCTAAAAAGCTAATATTTGACCAAAATTTCTAAATCAAAAGATCTTGAAATGATTAATAAATAGTTAAAAAAAGGAATACTACTCCTGATAATTGATATTTATTTAATTTAATATTTACTAATTCTTAATTTAAAATAGTTATTTTCACTCAAAGTATTTTGAATCTTTCTTCTTTGCTAGATCATATGTTCTGACTAGTCTTTTTCTGAAATTGAGAGCCTAAATTTGCATCAAATTTTTCATTTTCTTAAAATAAATATTATTACATCTTTTGCAAATACTATCAAAAATAAAATCATGAGAATTTTTGATAAAGAGAGAACACATTTAAGAGAAATATTATAGATATATCAGAAGACTTATCATATTTTTTTATATAAAAATATAGGTACTGACTATTTTTTTAAAAAATATTTTATTTAAGAATATTTTGAGATATATTTTCTTTATTCTTAATGCCTAAATCTCCTGCAATATGATATCTTTTCTCAGAATAATGTGTTATTAGATTGGTAATAACTAAAGATAGCTTTTCAACTAATTGTAGCTTGTAGCAGCCAATCAAAAAGTTGTGATAGAGTTGTAGTAGCCAATCAGAGAATTATGACAGAGTTGCAGTTAGTTACAGCTCCTATCACTAGTAATAACTAGATATTACACAAAATACTAATCAATTTTGTGAGATTATCTGGATCATATTCTGGTAATAATCTTTGTAAGATCTTTGAAAAAAGTTATAAAGAATTAGTGATTTTTACTAAGATTTATTTGGGTTAGGATTTGGATTCATTTTATATTAATTAAACTTAACAATATTTTATTTATTAGATTCTAGTATTAATAATAGATAATACATTTAATAATGATATATTGTGCCAAGCTCTGGAAAACAAGTATGCAAATAAGAATATTAAATTCAAAAAAAAGAATCAGCATGTCAGATATCTCACTTATATAATGAATCTTGCTATATAAAATCTCTTGAATTCACTTAGGACTAGAGTTTTGAAAGATGAAAATATTATGATAGAGAAGAAAAATATAGCTAATATATTGATTATTATCTAAAAGATATATTTATTTATATTTTTTTTATTATAATTCTTTTCTTACTTACTTTAATTACTTTTTTTAACTATGAAAACTAGTCACCAAAATTAAAGCATCTTAATATCAAAAAAAATTTTCCAAATAATATAATATCTAAGATATTTCTGAAAAAGAGTTAATCATTAATGTTGCAATCAGATAGAATTTAATATTTGATATGATAGAATGTGTATTTGAATATCATGAGATATAGAGTATATATTTGAATATTTGATGATATGTATTAACTTATAGTTTTTTATTCTTAGTCTCTCAAAACTATAGCCATAGTTGATAGAAATTTATGAGATTGGATTTTGAGTGAGGAGAATTAGAATAAAATATTCAAGATTATGATATTATTATAAGTAAGTATAATTTAATTTCTGCATTTTGTAAAAAAATTTCATACTTACATATTTCTTAGATTTTCAAACATGCAATCAACTATATCAGTACAAGTCACTATCTGACTCTTGCAGTAGCAGTTTCTATTTACAACTGACTCATGAATAATATTAAAAACTTTCAAGATGCTGAGAAAAGATTAAATAATATTAAGAAAGTAACATAAAAAGTATTTGATAAGCTTTTAGAGTATTATTTAAAAACTAATAGCTTGGTTTATATAATTATGACAAGTAAGCATATTTTAGACTTTGCTATACCAAATCACATGATTGATATAATTATTAATTTATTATTTACTACATAAAGTTTTTGATCTATGTATTAAGCTAAAATACTATAAAAATAATAATTAGA